AAACCCTAAACCCTAAACAGAGGAAAGAAAAGGCACCCTAAACAGAAGCCTCAAAGCCGAGGCCCTACGGAGCCCATCACCGCCGCGGAGGCGTTTCGGACGCCACCGCGGCGGGCCAAAGAAGGCCCCGAAGTGAGTGGAGTTTAGGGGTTTAGGGGTTTTNNGGCTTAGGGCTTAGGGTTCAAGGGTTTAGGGGTTTAGGGTTTAGGGTTTAGGATTTAGGGTTTGGGGCTTGGGGTTTAGGGGATTAGGGGTTAGGATTTAGGGGTTTAAGGTTTTAGGGCTTTACGGCTTTAGGGCTTGAGGGTTTAGGGTTTTAGGGTTTAGGGTTCAGGGGTTTAGGGAAAAGCCGACAAGCCGTATAGTAACCCCGATTAGACCCATTCTTAATTCTTAAGCCGCTCCCTAAGACTCTCCAAGTCCCTAACACCCGAAACCCTTGATGCTGAAAGCCTATGCAATCGCTGTTTCCATTTCATTTTCCATCTTCTTTGTGCCATTTTGCTCTCCATTATTGGGGGTCATAGCCCCAAACCCGAAGCCCCTAAACCCCAACCCCCCAAATCCTAAACCCTAAACCCCTCAACCCTAAATCCTAGACTCTAAGCCCCAAACAACCTAATTCGTAAACCCTCAAACTTTTGAACTTGATCAACTCTATCCATCCAACAGGCTCGCCCTCTTCCAGCTACACTGCAGGCCAGATTGATGTGGGGTTGGGGGTTTAGGGTTTAGGGTCCCATAGTCGAAGGTGGGTGTCGTGTTTAGGGTCTACATGAGAGGTCATTTTAAAGGAGTGACCATTGGGAATACATTTCTTTAAAGGGAGATCCCAACCCAAAATTGGCACCTACCTTATGGAAATTATACCCTAAACCCTAAACCCTAAACCTTAAACCCCTGAAGAACTGCCATATGGGGTTTTGCTTGTGGGGTTCAAGTGTGGAGGAGCTCAGGGTAGGAAACTTTAGGATTTAGGGTTTAGGGGTTTAGGGTTTAGGATTTAGGGGTTTAGGGTTTAGGGTTTAGGGTTTAGGATTTTGGATAGGACTAGGGTTTAGGATTTAGGGTTTAGGGCTTTAGGACCCAGGGTTGCATTTGGAAGTGTTAGCTCAGGTAGAATCTGGATCAATGTTAGGGATCCTTTATACTAATTCAACAATTCTCCGTTATGCTAGGCCCTGAACCCGACATTCTCCCTGTATCACGAGCTATAACCCTCGGTAGCCCTATAAAGCCAAGGGGCCCTTAACAGTGGCATAGGAGTCCCTCTTGCAGTCCAGCGTAGTCCGTCATATAGTCCCTAATGAGGGACCCATGTGCATTAAATCACGTAGGAAATATTGATTGTAGCTCATATAACCATAAAGCTTAAACCCTAAGCTCTGAAACATGTAGATGTATGTAGTAGTTTTATGTAGTTTCCATTCTATTTTCCATTGCCACTGTGGCTCCCTAAACCCTAAACCCTACCCACTCAGTTATCTAGGAAATATTGAACCCTAAACCCTAAACCCTAAATCCTAAGACCTAGACCCCAAATCCTAAACCCTAAAAACCCTATGTACCTTACATATCTTTATATCCCCCTTACTCCTACTGAACCTTAAGCCCTAAACCCTATAGCCTGCCAGCCCTAAACCCTAAACCCTAAACCCTAAATCCCAAACCCTAAATCCTAAACCCTAAGCACTAAACCCTAAATCCTAAATCTTAAACCCTAAACCCTAAAACCCTAAACCCCTAAACCCTAAACCCTAAAACCCTAAACCCTAAACCCTAAGAGGCTCCGCGCCTTTGTCGGCTCCTTGGCTCT